AAAACGGGGTCATATACCAACATCAGACAATGTCTCTGTAAGGTTGCTGATGGGCATTTCACAGCATCAGTGAAAGTATTATGTTTCTTAGGGGTTGCTCCATATGGGGATGCTACCACGAAGGCATTGGAGGATAAGCATCCACACAAGCCAGCACCATCCATGTTGAGTACCATATGTTCAGTACCTCCCCTTGTGGTTGATATTGACAATGTTATTGGGGCAATTAAATCATTCCCTAAAGGAACCTCGTGTGGAAGAGAGATCTCAACACATCTTAGATGCTCTTTGTGGAGAAGGTTCAGCAATTACCAAAGACCTCCTATGTGCTATCACATGTGTAATTAATTTATGGCTAGGGGAGATGGCCTTCAAGTTTGGCGGAATTTGTTGCCTCTGCTCCTCTCAACCCGCTTCTAAAACCTTATAAGGGAATACGACCTATTGTAGTACGAACTATATGGAGATGTTTGGTTTCCAAGCTGGCTATGAAAGGTGTTGGTAAAGAAATGGTCAAGTGTCTCAATGATTTTCAGTTTGGGGTTGGGGTGTCGGGTGGCGCTGAAGCCATATTACATAGTGCCAATAGGGTGTTGAATGAACGCCACAATGACGGGTCTCTTTCCATGCTTACTGTGGACTTCTCTAATGCATTTAACCTTGTTGACAGATCCACATTACTTCATGAGGTCAGATTGAGGTGCCCTTCTATATCCTTGTGGGTAGAATTCCTATATGGTCAAGCAGCAAGGTTATATCTAGGGGACGCACATATTTGGTCTTCTACTGGAGTTCAACAAAGAGACCCCTTGGGACCACTTCTCTTTGCACTTGTGTTGCACCCGCTCTTGCATAATATTAGAGACAATTGCAAGCTTCTTCTCCATGCATGGTACCTGGATGATGGCACACTTATTGGAGATTTTGAGGAGGTGGCCAAAGCCTTAGACACCATTAAGGCTATTGGCCCACAATTGGGCCTTCAGTTGAATATCAAGAAAACCGAGCTCTTTTTGCCCTCGTGTGATGGAAGGAAGCTGCATGAGGGGCTATTCCCGGTTAGCATCGGGAGGCTGCCATTGGGGGGTGGAACTTCTCGGGGGAGCTATTAGCAGAGATGCTAGTTTCATTAGCAACTTAGCCATAAAGAGAGCTGAAGGCGCTGTGAATTTGATGCGCCTTCTTCCACAATTATTTGACCCGCAGAGTGATCTCCTTCTACTTTGGTCTTGTATGGGTATTGCTAAACTTTTCTTTGGGCTGAGGATGTGCCAAACCGTTCACATGGAGGAGGCAGCGTTGTTCTTCGACAATTAATTACGCCGGACGATTGAGGACATTGTGGTTTGTGGTGGCCCCTTCTTTGGCGACTTGCTTCCCTACCCATTCGGTTTGGTGGTTTGGGTTTATACACGGCAGCAGAGGCTACCTCAGATGCTTTTGTTGCCTCAAGGACCCAATCTTGGGTATTGCAAGACCACATCTTACAGGATAGCGGCATTTATGGTATGGCTAAGCTACAACCTGACAATGTGGTTGCTGTCAAGAAACTTCATTCATCATCCGGGAATGTTGATCATAGTGGTTTCCTTAATGAGGTATGGGCACTAACGAACATAAGGCACCGAAACATAGTGAAACTCTATGGGTATTGCTCCCATGCCCGCAACTCAATTTTGATTTATGAATACCATGAAAATGGCATCCTTGGATCTATTTTAAAAAGTGATGTATTAGCAAAAGAATTGGATTGGTTAACAAGGGTCAATATTGTAAAGGGCGTTGCCAATGGTTTGGCTTATATGCATCACGATTGTTCACTGCCTATAGTGCATAAAGACATTTCCATATCCAACATCCTTCTTGATTCTGATTATGAGGCACACATTTCTGATTTTGGCACATCCAAGCTTTTAAAGCTAGACTCATCAAACTGGAGCGCAGTAGCTAGAACCTATGGTTATATCGTTCCAGGTAACATAATCTTTTGATTGTAGTTCTACATGTTCTTAAGTTTCATGATTTACATAAATATGTATCTACGTTAGAATCATGTGAGATTGATATAGCTTTTTTGTTTTTTTCTTATGTTTCTTTGGATGTAGAGCTTGCTTATACGATGGTGGCAAATGAGAAATGTGATGTGTATAGCTTTGGAGTTGTTGCACTAGAAGTGGTCATGGGAAAGCATCCTGGGGAACTCATAACATCTTTACCAACATTATCAGATGATCATCTGGTGTTAGCAAATGTGGGAGACAGCCGGATACCACCTCCCTCATCCCAAGTTGAGAAAGAAGTTATGTTAGTATTAAGAGTCTCAAGAGCATGTTCGAATCCACATGAAAGGCCAACGATGCACCAAGTTTCAAATCTGTTGATGAAGGCAAAATTTAGTGTACTTTCAATGTTCTTTATTTTTCTGTAGTTTCCTATGATGCACCCTATGATATTTATGCAATTAAACGCCTTCTTGTTAAGATACTACAGATATGTTTTTTTATATCCGCATTTAAATGCCTTCTTGTTAAGATACTTGTTAGATACTACTACTGATATGTTTTTTACATCAGCATATAAATGCCTTCTTGTTAAGATACTACTGATACGTTTTCTTATATCAGCATTTATATTCCTTCTTGTTATGATACTCCGGATATGTTTTCTTATGTCATTATGTAGTAGATAAATAAGTCAATGAAAATTGCAATCCTTCTAGAAATGTAGCTGCACAAGTTTTGCCTGTAGTTTAGAAACGGATTTGCATTAGCTATCTTTTCAGATGAAAATTAGCAACTTTTTCCATCACTTGGATTTCCAATACATGTAAAAAGTTTTAATTTTACACAACATAAAAAATCTTATACATTTTATGTCAAATAAATCCAAATTAAAATACATATTTCAGTAGGCCAGGTTTTGTAAAACGTTTACAGAAGGTTTCACTTACCATCTTAACTCTTGATACAAGCTTCTTATGAATTACATGTTGAAGAATCTTAACACTAACATAAGAAGACCATATTGTATTACTGTAAAAAAAAAAACAAGAATGTTTAAGTGTGTAACTACTGTATGCTCTTTAAACTGATAATACGGATGCTGGACTCTGCTGCTCTCCCTTGCTGTGATTTTATTTTAAGTTTATGTGGTTGAGTGTTACTTATTCATATATTTTATGTATTCTCGACACAAGATTTTTTTTAAGAATGTTGTAATGTTACTTATTCAGTTACACCTTCTATATCTGGTAATATCCCAAGCCAATCATACGGTAATTTTTTCCCATGACCTAATCTTATACTCTAGGTTGTCCATTTAGTATCTGCCTATAAAAAGGTAAGATGAAAATTTACCAAATGCATATTTTATCACAAAACGCATAATTGATAATCTAAAACAGGGAAAATAACAGAGCTCCAATCATGAAAGAGACTTTAAATCCCTTAAGTACATTATACACGTGGTTGAAAAAGCAATGATAAAGGCTTAATTCTATGAATATCTAACACGGCAAATGTATAGTGCTCATTTTATGCAAAAGAGTTAAAACAATTTGCAATTGTCCTAAATGCAAAAATAGCCAACTGGTGAGAGTTTGGCAAAACTAGTAAAGTAAATATTTGAGTACAAGGCTAAAAAAAGAAAGCCAATACATTTGATTTGGGACTAATGTAACTAATCTAAAAGGGAAGTTTGTAGAAAATTCCCATGATTTTGAGAAAAAATCAACGATTAAATCCCAATTTTTTTTATAGAAAAGCCCAAAAAAACTGATTTTTTTTTTTTTTTTATTATTTTTGCCTCTTTTGATATGTTCAGGCATGGGACCACATCGTTAATTTTAAAAAAATAATGAGACTTTTCTATATATTTTCGGGATATGTACACTAAACTCCCAATATTTTCATCGATTTGAAAAGAAAGTCCGAAACTTTTTTTTACAGTAAAATCCAAATTACCGACAGTTTTTGACACTTTTACCATTTTTTTTTCCGGTTAGACGGTAATTAGGACTTTTTTGTCAAAAAAAATAAAGTTTAGGACTTTCTTCTCAAATCGTCAATTAGGACTTTACTGTCAAAAAATAAAGTTTAGGACTTTCTGTTAAATCGTTGAAAATATTGAGATTTTAGTGTATATATCCCTTTTTTTGTTAGAAATTTAATGATATGATACTCTTTAAGCATAAGAGTATTGAAACCTTCTCTAGTCAGCTAGATCCTATTGAAATGTAACATCCCAAAATCGAGACCTAAATTTTTTTGTTTAATTATATTACTTATAAAAATAGTTTACGGAAAACATCGTTGCTATCATTTCAAAACATCAAGTAACAAATCACAAGTCTCGAAACCTTGGTCAAAGTCAAATTTGTTCAAATTCAACATCTGGTTGACCAGACTTGCCGAGTTGGTTCACCAACTCGTCGAGTCCCCCTATCGATGAAAAGCTACAACCTCATCCCTACTCGTCGATTCTAGTAAGAGCTCGACGAGTTCGCCTTCAACAACACATCGGTCCTTCTTCAACCGACTCGCTGAGTTCCTCCTTGAACTCGTCGAGTTTATCTTCATCCGTTGAAGGTATTTAGTCTATGACTCATCGAGTCCATCTTCATGTGGTTGGGACATTGCCTTGAACTCGCCGAGTCGGCTCATACACTCGCCGAGTTCTATGACTTCCAGGTCCCTAATAAGCCCAAACAACCGAGGGGCCTTCAATCTTAGCATCTGGTCCATCAACAAAAAGGATTTGATGGAAAATACGTCCCGACTCACCGAGTCCCATCAACGACTCTCCGAGTCCATCTTTGTTCGAAACTATACAGTCGATTTTACTTGGTCTAAATGCATCCAAACCATAGATCTGACCTCCTATGGTCTATGTTATACGTAAAGTTCCAATCTTGACGTCCATACATGGGGGTTTTTGGCTCAAAAGCCATAAAAAGAGGTATATAAGAAGCATGGATCTCCCATAGCCATAAAGTTGTCACCTTTATGCCATGGAAACCCTCAATGGTTCCAGATTTGAAGTGTAACTCCAAACACACTCACAAAATCTTACTATAACTTCACAACTCATAAAAAAAGGGTAGAAAATAGCCCCAAAATAAGATCTAAGAGATAGATGGTCAAGGTTCAAGCTTTTTACCTTGAATGAACTGAGAATGAAGCAAAACCTCAGGATCTACTAGCTTGCACTTGAATTCCCAAGCTTCCTTCTTCTCTTCCAACTTCAAATGCACAAAAAAGTCACCAAAAAGCTCAAGAACACTCAAAAGAGGCTTAGGGTTCGAATTGGGGCTTTCTCTGGGTTGGGAGGAACAATGGAGGTTGGGTTGGGGCATTATAAGTTGTTGAAATAGGGTACAAATGCTAAATATTAGGGTTTCATCCAGACAACTTCTACTCGTCGAGTCGGTCTCCCGACTCTTCGAGTAGATCATTAAACTTCCCGGTCAATATCGAGTCTACTCGACGAGCCTCCAACTTGCCGAGTCCCAAAGCAAAAAATGAATTTACCTGAATTTAAATACGCACCAGGAACCGGGTGTTACATGAAATCTTTAACGTTTGCTTCTAGTTAAATCGTTTTTTTAATCTCAGCAAGCCAACATTGAAAAAAAATGGAAATAATCAAGAAAGAAAGAAAGAAGGAACCAGGGTTGTGTTGACTTTTTGCTTCTTGTTAAATCGTTTTTTTAATCTCAAAACAAAATTGCCTTTCTTTCCCTTCTCCACATTCACACCTTTTTGACTAGGCATGTGTTGTTCGTGTTTGTATAATCTGTCCCCACTTTTTAGTTCAAGATTTGGCGGCGAAGCAATAAGAAAGTTTTACAAGTCTTTTCACCCTTTCTCGCTCTCTATTTTCCATATGTTTCTCCTGATCGTGATTGTGTTAGGGTAAAAATGATGATGGTAAGAAAAACAGTGATGATGCAACAAAAGTTACAATTAAAAGTTCTTGGGTTACGAAAATACACTAAAGTCGCAATATTTTCAATGATTTGACAAGAATGTCCCAAACTTTATTTTGTTGACAATAAAGTCCTAATTGACGATTCGACAAGAAAGTTCTAAATTTTATTTTTTTGACAAAAAACTCCTAATTACCGGCTAACCGGAAAAAAAAGGGTAAAAGTGTCAAAAACTGCTGGTAATTTGGACTTTACTGTCAAAAAAATAAAGTATAGGATTTTCTTGTCAAATCGATGAAAATATTGGGACTTTAGTGTCTATATTCCTAAATTTTCTAAAAAAAAAAAATTTTAAACGTATAAACGTATTTTTATGTATTTTTTTCTAAGTACTTTTACGTATTTATGACCTTTTTAATAATTTATATATATATTTTTTACCTTTTTATGTATTTTAAAGGTATAAACGTATTTTTTTACATAATTATATGAATTTTTAGGTATTTTTACGTACTTTTTTGTATTTTGGTATTTTTTCATGTAATGATGTACTTTTTTTAAAAAATTATATATTTTGTTTTACATACTTAAATGTATTTTAAATATATAAATGTATTTTTTTTACGTATTTTTTAATTTTTTTGAGAACTTTTAAGCATTTTGGTATTTTATGTTTTTACATAGTTATTAATTTTTTTACTTAACGTTTCATTATGAGCTAACTATTAAACCCTGTAAATAAAGAAAATAAGCACTAGATTACTTCGAAACAAACATTTTTCAATCATTAGCAATAAAAGTCATTTTTGCAGGTAAATTCTTCTATTTTTTCTTGAATTGAATTTGTAGATAAACAAACTTTACGAATATTCTTGTTAATGATAAAAATATTCGTAAATTTTGTTTATCTAAAGTTGAATACATGAAAAAAAAAAATAAAAGGAAGAGTTTACCTACAAAAATTACGTTGTTGGTAAGGTTCGTCTTTGAAATTTTTTTGTTTTGAAGTACTTTAGTGCTTCTTTCCTTTGTTTATAAGGTCTAAAAGTTATCTTACAGTGAAAGTTGGAGTTAAAATACATAAATAAATTTAAAAAAATTACAAAAATACATACAAATATGTAAAAAAAAACATATGTTTATACATTTAAAATACATAAAAATATTCAATAAAAAAACTATATAAAAGACATCATAAATACATAAATACATAAATATTTAAAAATACCTGATATCCCCGTTTAGAATGACCAAAATAAAGGAAATAAACAAGTTCAATGACAAAATGATACTTTAAACAAAGTATAATGATCAAAATAAAACATTCAAAAAAGTTCAGTGACTAAAATTGACCTAAATCGTTTAAAATTCATAAAAAATGTTAAAAAAAACTCGAGAAATCTCCTTTAAAGTCCTAATATTTTAATTCAATTTATGAAAAAGTCTCACACTAAAGTTGTAACATCCCAAAAATTCAAAGAAAAATTTCATTTTAGATTCAT